CTATGTAGGCACAGTACTTTGCTTACTTATGGAAAAATTATTTCAACAGGGTGAATCTTTTCCTTTACAGAATTTGATCAGGTAGAGGATAAAACAATACACAGTGTATAATGCAATATTTTAAATGTCATAGTGAAGGAAGAGAATTTCTAATGGAGTGAAAGTAGGAAAAGAACAGAGTCTTTTGTTTTTAAGGAGCATTTAAAATAAGTTTTGATGGATGGGGAAGATATTTAATTTAAGAAAACAGAATAGTGGACTGGGGGTGGCAGTTATAGAGTCTCAGTTTAAATTTCTAGTACAGAGGGAGGGAAGGAAGGAAAGAAAGAAAGATAGATGGATGAGGAGAGCATAGTTGGCAGAAGATTCCCAACTGGACAATGTTGTTTCCCCCAAGTTTCCTTTTCATTTTGCCCCTCCTCTTTGTGTGTGTGTGTGGGGCGGGTAGCAGGTGGGGCCCTCCCCATGCTAGGCAAGTACTCTGCCACTGAGCTACAGCCCTAAACCTGCTTCCCCATTTTTCTGGTGACCATGTAAAGTGGAAGATCAGTTAGATTCTTGGATATTCCAAGTAGAGAAATAACAAAGGTCTTCTCCTTTGAACTTATAACAAACATTTACTCATAAAAAATTTTTAGATTGGGAAAGGGCACAAGAGAACTGAAGTATTTCTACAGGATTTGGGAAATGGAATATGAAGAGATAAATTGTAGATAATTGTTGTATAAAACTGACAAAGGAATTATATGCAATTGCAGGGGTCCACTTACATATAGCAGATTGTATTTTGGAGATTTGTAACAATTTGAAGAAACTCAAACCACACAGCTGAGAAATTTTTTAAAAAGTGTCATGAATGTCATAATCTGTTTTTTCATTTACTAATATAAAATTTAAACATCTGTTATAAAAAGTTAATGTTTGGGGGCTTGGGTTGTGGCTCAGCAGTAGAGAGCTTGCCTGGTAGTAATGAGGCTCTGGGTTTAATCCCTGGCACCACATAAAAACAAATGAAATAAAGGTATTGTGTCCATCTAAAACTAAAAATATTGGGAAAAAAATTAATGTTTGGAGCTGGGGCTCAGCAGTGGAGCACTTGCTCAGCATGTGTGAGGTGCTGGGTTTGATCCTTAGCACCATAAAAAATAAATAAGTAAAATATTGTGTTCAGCTACAACTGAAAAAATACTTTTAAAAAAGTTAATGTCATCAGCATGGATACATGCACCGACATGGCACCATTTGCAAAGGAAATGTAAAGATACAATATTTAATCATAAATATGAAAATCACGTGCATACTATAGTACTGTAATTTTAAGTTTTTGCTCTGGTTGAATTTCCTAGATTGGGAAAGGGTCCTTGTTTTTCTCTCATAGGACATAATAATCCCTAAGATGGTTTAAGAACCTTAGTGACTTGCCAGTTTTGTATCTATATTGCTTGGTTGATTTCTTATTATGTCTGCTTTATTAATACAATAATAATGAGTTTATTTTGGTATTAATCCAAAAGATCACTTATAAGAATTTTAAAGAAGCTGAAATTTAAGCCCCAGTTTTTACTAGTTTAAGTAAGGAGGAAATAAAAAATCACCCATGCTATTAAAGTAGAATTGTCAAGTACTGTTGTCAAGTACTGATCTTCCTGCCTCATCTTTCCAAGTTTTATTCCAAGCAGGTTGAATTTGATATTTCACCCTTACAGTATGAACCAGATTAGAATAAGTATTGTAGAAAAGAGAAAAGTAACAAAACCAAATTGTTAAGTTTCTATTATGGATTTAGAGGTGGTCCAGACTATCGTGCTTATTCTGATTGGTTGGTGCTTCAAATTGGGGATGAAGGATTTATTGTTTACTGAAAAGGTGGTGACTTCTAACTGCCATAAATCAAAGTTATCTGAAAATATGTACCTCTTTCTAGTTACAGTCAAATTGAAAAAATAATGAATAGGTGAGATTTCTGAAAGGACCCCCTCCCACACACACACACTCAAGTCCTGGGGATCAAACCTGTGGCCTTGCATTTACCAAGCAAGTGCTCACTGAGCCACATCCCCACCCCCTGAAAGATTTCTTTGTAAATGAATAGGCAGATGTACAGTTGACTAGTTGAGAAAGGAAATCAGAATAGGAAAACATAGTATTGGGATGGTTTGTATCATCAAAAGATAGGTAAATCTAGGTTAGGAAAAAGAATTGAAATTGAAGATCTTACCATGATTGCTGAATCTTAAGGAATTTGGTATAAAATGGTTTCTAAGTGATTGAGAAGTGTGATTAACTGTAGATTGGCTTAGGGCTCACAATTATGGGAGTTGGCCTTATGTTTTATTTATTTATTTAGTTAGTTAGTTAGCTAGGTGCCAGGGATTGAACTTGGGCACATACCAGCCCTGTTTTGTATTTATTTAGAGACAGGGTCTTACGGAGTTGCTTAGCCTCTGGCTTTTGCTGAGGCTGTCTTTGAACTCCTGATCTTCCTGCCTCATCTTCTTGAGCCTCTAGGATTACAGGCATGCAACATTGTATCTGGCTTGACTTTTTATTTTGAGAGTTCTATTATGTATTGATCAACATCAATTTAGATGTTAATTTTTAACATTTTGTTAACCAGAGAATAGGATCATTGTTCAATTTTAAAGACAAAATAAGTTTCAAGTTGACTTTGATTCATAACTTCATCCTTTTTCTTTGAGAAATTTTAGAATTGAATACTAAATCGGTTTTGATCATATGAAATTGCTGTTTTGGGAGGTCAAAAGTTGAATGTCAGTGGTATCAAGGGGATCTTACTTAGTTACTACTTTATGTTGTATTATTTCCTGGCTTATTTGAATGTTTCATTCAAATCAGTATTTATAGTACCAAGCACTATGGGAAGAATTTGCAGTACTCCTGCCTCAACCTTCTGAGTCACTAGGATTACAGGTGTGTGACACCATGTCTGGTTAGATTTAAGTAAAAGTTGCTCTTTTCTAAATTGTTTTATGTGGTGTTGAGGATTGAACCCAGTGCCTCAACACAAGCTGGGCAAGCGCTCTACCACTGAGCTACAACCCCAGCCCTCAGATTTGTGTTTTGGTTTTGGGGTGCTGGGGATTAGAACCCAGGGCCTTGTGTATGCAAGGCAAACACAACCTTCAGAATTCTTTTTAAAGGAAGAGTGGTAAACATTGAAAGTGAAGCTGGACTGACTATGATGGCAAAGAGGCAAGTTAAAAGGTAATTGTAGGGCTGGGGATATAGCTCAGTTGGTAGAGTGCCTGCTTTATAGAAAATAGAAATGTAGGTATGTAAATTGTAGTTATCACTATACTTGAGCCAGGGCCGTGGCATTGGGCTGAATAAAAGGGAATAGATGGCTAGAAAGTTGCAAGTGTCTTAATACTGGTTAAGAATCATCATAGTTGAATACTCCTTCCCTAAATTATCTACTTTGAATTTCTTTGCTCTCTATCATTCTGTTCCTTAAATTTTGACATTACTTGAGTTCCTTTTTCATACTACACAAAGTTATGATAATCTCATCCAATTCTCTTGTATGTTAAACTTTAGATATGGTTTTGATCTTGGCTCATTGCAGGGAGAGAGTATATATACTATTTCCTTTCCCCATCCATATGCAGATGACAGTTACAATTTTAGGTCTATACATTTAATTTCATTTAAACCTGGAGAGGGGTTAGATTGTGACTTAGCTATAACTGGTGTCCAGATACATCCCTTCTCATGAGCTCCAGTTTATTTTTCTTTATATTGATTGCTAATAAATTAGATTACACTTAACACAGAATCCAAATAGAGTAAAATAATCTTCAGCTTTTCCAAATAACTGTTGTATGACCATAAGAGAAATATTTATTCTTAATTTTTATTATAGTTTGTTCCTTTTACTAAGTAGTTTTTTAATTTACCTTATGTCCTAGGTACAGTGTTTCCTTTCAAGGTCGATTCTTTGATTCTTATAGAATAATAGTCATCTACTGTCTTACTCATCAGGGCTTCAGGTATCTCTTGTGAAGCTTTCTTGTATGCCTGGTAGAATTTGTCCTGCATTTTCTCTGTTGCTATCATTTGGGTGTGTTCATGTTTTCTTAATGAAAATGCCAAATAAGCTCCTTGTGGATGTTTTGAATGAAATTGGAGCAAATGAGGATCTTGTCGTTAGTCACTGGGTATGGGTTGGCATATTGACCTTATGGGTTAAAATGACAAGTAGGTATAGTTTAGAGGTAGAACCAAATGTCTGGATGCTTATATTAAGCATCAGATTTAATCAACTTTGATAAATGCTGTGTCCAAAAGACTTCTTCAGAAGTGATTAGTTGCCATGAAGTATTTGGTTGTGTGGGTGGGTGGGTTTTTTTATTTTTTTTTAATAATGATGAGCTGTTGAAATACCATTTTATTTATAACATTGTTGTGCATGACTTTGCTGTTAGTGGAGATAGAATTGTTCTGCGAATTTCAGATAACAGTAATCAACTTTCTGTATTAAACATGGCAATTAAGAATTATAGGTTCATCTCTTAGAAGGGGGCAGTGCTGCAAGCCTTTAATTCCAGCACCTAGGGGAGTTAAGGTAGGAGGATTGCAAGTTCAAGGCCAGCCTCTGCAATTTAAGGGAGATCCTGTCTTTAAATAAAAAGGGGCTGTGGCTCAGCAGTAGCACACTTGCTTGGCATGTGTGAGGCACTCTGGGTTCGATTATCAGCACTACATATAAATAAATGAAATAAAGGTCTTATCAACAACTAAAAAAAAGGATTGGGGGTGTAGCCCAGTGATAGAGCACCTCTGGTTTCAAATCCCTAGTTCAAAAAAAAAAAAAGAATTACAGAAAGACATCAGTGCTTTGTAGAATCGTTATTTTCAGCCCTAGCCTAGCTGTAATCAGTCTAGGTTATATATATGTGTATTTTTTTTTTTTAAGGGAAAAAGCATTTGTTCCTTGAAAGTTGTCATAAAATAATCCTTTTTCTTTTTTTCCCCTGCAGAAATGGAATCTATTTGGAATTTGCAGAAGCAAGGTAAGAATGTTTAGATTACCTGAAATGTTAGTATTAATGAGCAGTTGTTACATATTCTTTTTGGCTGGGAATAACAGATGAAGTGACCTACCAAATACATTTTGTATTTTGTGCTATTTAATTATTGCAGTCACAAGGCACTAACTGCCATATAAGGATCAGGTACTATAAATATGCCATATAAGGATCAGGTAATACTATAAGTATGAAAATACTCCAGTTGCTGGACAAAGCAGTGAATTGTTTTTTTACTCTGATAGAAAGGAAGATCAGTGGGGTAAGGATATAGTGTTTTTAGCATGCAAGGGATCCTGGATTCAGTCTCTGGAACTCTCGTGGGCGGGCGCACACAATTATTTTCACCCTCCCATAACCAAGGTGTGACTAGCAGGAGGGAAGAAAAAAATCAACATGTGGATTATTTGGAATCTTCAAAAAGTTAAAATTGGTTATACTAATTATTGTTTGCCTTTTCCCTAAATATATTAAAATATCAAGGGTATAGAAACTAGAGAGTGGCAGGATTAGAATGTAGGTTCCCCTAATGTCCTAACACTACTCCAGCTTTTTTTTTTTTTTTTAACTGCAGCTTTGACCTCACCTTGTTTCTTAGGGTCAAGTCTTTTTCTTAAATATTTAGATTTGGGGGGGGGTACTTTCCTAATCAAACACACAACTTAAAAAACAGATTAGAAAATATACCCTTCAAGGGGGCTGGGGATGTGGCTCAAGCGATAGTGCGCTTGCCTGGCATGCGTGCGGCCCGGGTTCGATCCTCAGCACCACATACCAACAAAGATGTTGTGTCCGCCGAGAACTAAAAAATAAAAATATTAAAAATTCTCTTTAAAAAAAAAAAGAAAATATACCCTTCAAAAGTAGACCTACCTTGTACTGTAAAGTGACTACTATTAAAAATGAGCATTATTTTCATAATTGATTGCCAGAAGGTGGGCCTTGGAGTCCCAGAAAGGATATTACATAATTTCTGGACTAGATCTTTTTTTTTTTTTTTTGGTAGGTGGACACAATTCTTTATTTTCTTTATTTTTATATGGTGCTGAGGATCAAACCCAGTATCACATGTTCTAGGCAAGCGCTCTACCACTGAGCTACAATCCCAGCCTTAGATTGATTCTTAAGCTGATATGAGCTTAAGTTCTATGTTACTATTTTCAGGCCATTATTATTTTCCACTAGGTGACAAGTTTTATTAGTTTGTCTATTTTGCATTGTCCCTTCAGAAAATGGGAGCATTTAGCTAAGTAATAGAAATTTAATACTTTAGAATACCCCTGCAGGCTTTGCCCAGGCATATTCTGACAGTTTTATATTTTGAACCCAGAAGATCCCTAGGCTTTTAATTTTTTTTACTTTTCTTTTCATATGTGTGCATGCACTGGTGCTAGAGATTGAACAGAGGACCTTGCACACACACTACCACTGAGCTACAGCATCTGCTTTTGCTGAGAATGAAGGCTGGTGGTCCTGAGGAAAATAAAAAGGAATCAATGAGTCATGATTAGAACTAACATCAAAAACTTTACAGTGAAGTTTTTGGTTGCTAAGTTTTTAATTAAATTGGTCCTTGTTGGACAGTCTGTACCAGTTAAAATAAATTTTAACTTCAGTTGCTGAAAGGAACAAGAGGAAAGTGGTTTTTGTTGTTGTTTTTTGTATGAAGATTTGATGGTTTTAAGTTTTTGGTTTTGTTTTTTGCAAGGAAGGGACTCCACTTTTTTCAGATTTCCTTTTTTTGGTACTTGGGATTGAACTCGGGGTCACTCAAGGATTGAACCACATCCCCAACCCATTTTGTATTTTATTTAGAGACACTGAGTTGCTCGCTGATGCTGAGGATGGTTTTGAACTTGTGATCCTCCTGTTACAGGTGTGTGCTACCATGCCTGGCTAAGTTTACTTTTTGTGTTATTGTTGTTATACGTAGACATGGTTCTGAGGATTGAACCCAGTGCTTTACACTTACTAGGCAAGTTCTCTACCACTGAGTTGCAACCCCAATCCCTCAAATTTACTACTTTTGTAATCCAGAGAAACATATAAAGAAAACTTTTATTAAATGAACTTAGCCATTGCTAGTCTGTAGGAATTGAGGTTATCATAAGTTAGAGGACTCTGTTGCAGGAATCAGTTGGAGTGCCGGAATACTTACTTTTTTTGAGTTAAGAAACTGGATTGGATGTGTATTTATAAAGAGTAGCCTTTAAATTGTGTTTTTAATAAGAGGGGGCAACCTAAACTATGATTATTTAGGCTTTATTTTGGGATTCCATTTCTTATCTTTACATTTTTTTTAACCTTCCCTCTAGATCCCAAAAGGATAATCACTTACAATGAAGCCATGGATAGTCCAGATCAATGAAGGACCAGACTGCCTGTTTGTAACCTTTCTGCAGCATTAGAGCCACC